TTTCCCCTGCCCTGAAGCGCCAGAATACCAGGATGAGAGCAGCCCTCACAGTTGAGAAGCGAGTGGCGATAGCCCAGTGGAAGCTTGCAATGCCAGACAGCTACCGGTCAGTTGGGCATCAATTTGGAGTGGGCCAATCTACTGTGGGGGCTGCTGTGATCCAAGTAGCCAAAGCAATCAAAGAGATGCTGCTATCAAGGGTAGTGACTCTGGGAAATGTGCAGGTCATAGTGGATGGCTTTGCTGCAATGGGATTCCCTAACTGTGGTGGGGCGATAGACAGAACTCATATCCCTATCTTGGCACCGGAGTACCAAGCCAGCGAGTACATAAACCGCAAGGGGTTCTTTTCAAAGCTGCTGCAAGCCCTGGTGGATCACAAGGGACGTTTCACCAACATCAACGTGGGATGGCCGGGAAAGGTACATGACACTCGTGTCTTCAGGAACTCTAGTCTGTTTCAAAAGCTGTAGGAAGGGACTTTCTTCCCAGACTAGAAAATAACCATTGGGGATGTTGAAATGCCTATAGTTATCCTTGGGGACCCAGCCTACCCCTTAATGCAGTGGCTCATGAAGCCATACACAGGCAGCCTGGACAGTAGGTAGGAGCTGTTCAACTATAGGCTGAGCAAGTGCAGAATGGTGGTAGAATGTGCATTTCGATGTTTAAAAGTGTGCTGGTGCAGTTTACTGACTTGGATAGACCTCAGCGAAACCAATATTCCCGTGGTTATTACTGCTTGCTGTGTGTGCCACAATATCTGTGAGAGTGAGGGGCAGATGTTTATGGTGGGGTGGGAGGTTGAGGCAAATTGCCTGGCCGCTGATTATGTGCAGCCAAACACCAGGGTTAGAAAAGTACAGGAGGGCATGGTGCGCATCAGAGAAGCTTTGAAAACCAGTTTCATAACTGGCCAGGCTACCATGTGAAACTTCTGTTTTGTTTCTCCTTGATGAACCCCCCCCCCCCTCCCTCCCATTGGTTCACTCTACTTCCCTGTAAGCTAGCCACCCTCCCCTCCCTCCTTCGATCACTGCTTGCAGAGGCAATAGAGTCATTGTTGCTTCACATTCATGCATTCTTTATTAATTCTTCACAAAATGGGATAACTGCCAAGGTAGCCCAGGAGGGGTGGGGGAGGAGGGAAGCACCGGGTAGGGTGGGGGAGGAGGGAAGGACAAGGCCACGCTGTACTTTAAAACTTATTGAAGGCCAGCCTTCTGTTGCTTGGGAATCCTCTGGGGTGGAGTGGCCGGAGGCCCCCCCACTGCGTTCTTGGGCGTCTGGGTGAGGAGGCTATGGAACTTGGGGAGGAGGGCTGTTGGTTACATAGGGGCTGTAGCAGCGGTCTGTGCTTCTGCTGCCTTTCCTGCAGCTCAACCATACGCTGGAGCATATCAGTTTGATGCTCCAGCAGCCGGAGCATTGACTCTTGCCTTCTGTCAGCAAGCTGACGCCGCCGATCCTCTTCAGCCTGCCACCTCTCCTTGCATTCATATTGTGCTGTCCTGCACTCTGACATTGTCTGCTTCCACACAATCTGCTGTGCTCTGTGTGGGAGGACAGCATGAGCTCAGAACATTTTATCCTGAGTGCGTTTTTTTCGCCTTCTAATCTTTGCTATCCTCTGCGAAGGAGAAAAATTTGTAGCTAGTGGAGGCGGGCGGGAAAGGGAGAGTGGTAGTTAAAAAGACACATTTTAGAGATCAACGGGTAGACTTTCTTTCACATTAAACCTTGCTGTTCACATTACATAGCACATGTGCTTTCGTTACAAGGTCGGATTTTGCCTCTTATATTGAGGGCCTGCCGGTTTGGTGTGAGAGATCACTCACGCAGTGCCAGGCAACAGAATTCGGCTTGCAGGCAGCCATGATAAGCCAGTGTCTTTTGGCTTCTTTAACCTTCATAACATGTGGGAATGGTTTCAAACAACAGCGCTCTCATTTCCCATACCAAGTGGCCCTTGGGTTGGCCATTTAAAATGGGTTTGCAATGTAAAAGGAGGGGTTGCGGTTTGCGGGTTAGCGTGCAGCACAAACCCAAATTACACCCCCCCCCCCCAAACACCCAATTCTCTGGGATGATCGCTTCACCCCTCCCCCCACTGCGTGGCTAACAGTGGGGAACATTTTCTGTTCAGCCACAGCTGAGCAGGAACGTACACCTCTGAATGTCCCCTTAATAAAATCACCCTATTTCAATCAGGTGACCATGAATGATATCACTCTCCTGAGGATAACACAGAGAAATAAGGAACAGATGTTGTTTAAATGCCAGCAAACACCTGGACCATACGCTGTGTGACAGACCCAGACCAGTGGGGTACAGGAGTCTGGTAGAGGGCAAATATACTGGTCACTGGATGAGTAGTTTTCTGTTCCCTGAGTGACCAGAGCAGGGGCTGCACCAGAG